AAATAAAAAATTGATAAATGGCAACAGGGAAGAGAGATCTATTGCAAACTGGAAGGAGACCAAGAGATGAGAGGAGGGGGTGGGGGCATAAAGACATCTAGGATGTATGGTGCACGGTTAAATAAGACTCAGCAGATGCAAACTGTTGCCCAACCACCAGAAGTCCCCTACAACCTTAAATTTCTCTGAAAGCCTGTTTGGAAGTGCTCACCATAAGCTCAAGGTACCTTAAAACATATACAATCAAGGGCCAGCCAAATAGCTCAGCGGATTAAAGCACCTGCTTAGGCAGACACAGCGCCTGGGAAGGGGTTTGATTCCCTGCAAGCTGTGTGGCCCCACCCCTGGGGCACACTGAGACTGGGCATGGTGGCACGCGCCTGTAATTCCAGCGCTTGGGAGGCTGAACACAGGTGGATCACTGTGAATCGGATCTATGCAGTGAGACCCTGTAGACCCTGTCCTATAACACACACACACAAAAAAAAAACAAAAAAACAAAAACAAAAACAATTAAGCACTGCTTAAAGATATACTTTGAGAAATGTGTCATTGGGTGATTTGTTGTATGAACTTACACAAACTAAGACAGTATCAGACCACCATGGTATATGCAATCCCTTCCTGACCAAACATTACTGATGGTAAGACTTAGATATTGATGGTGAGCCTCAGGTAGCTCTTTGTGAGTTATACTAAACCATGATCTTCATTTCATTTAATGGTGACTATATATTTTAAAATAGATACAAAAAAAAAACCAAACAAACAAACAAAAAATAAAATAGATACAATATTTATTTTACTTCTTATAAAACAATAATTTATGTTGTATACCCCCTAGATCCTTAGAACTAGATGGTAGCAGTCTCAACTTTAAATCCAAATGGCATACCGAGTGAACACCTCATTTACATAGTTCCTTAAGAGAACTTTGTCAGGGATGTGGTATGTGTTCACAGTATCAATGTTCAAGTGTCTGCATCTGCTTGTATACTCCAGGAAGCCAGAGAACTCGGAATATCTCAGTGATCCTGCAGTGACAACTCCCTCATCAGAGCCACCTGGACTGCCTTTTGGGGGCACCAGGAACCTGACCATCTCGCAGGAGGATGAAGGAGCACATCATGATGCAGAAACACTCAACCCCAAATGTGGTGTGTGCTGCATACCCCAGAAGGCAGCGCTTGTCCATCAGGGCATCCCTTCTGCCGAGCAACCTCGCAAAGGAACTGATGAGCTATTGCAACAAGATTTAAAAACAAATTCTAATGTACTCTCGTTTTCTGTGTCTTTTAGATTCTAATTTTGTTCCTTTTTATAGATATAAGAAATTTTTTCCTTCCTTAAATATGTGGTAATTTCCACTTTGTTTCTCTCCACTGCATAAAGAGCCTCCAAGCAACAGCACCACACATACCAATAGCCCCACCCTCACTGCACAGACTGACCCTGAGGATACAGGGACAAGATGGGACACTTCATCCCCAAGACCCATCACAGTCAAGGGAAATAGGCTTCGGTCTCCTGTGCTAACTCTGGTCTCCAATGCCAACTGCCACACAGAAGGAAGAGTGAAAAGCAAGACTCCCCCCGCTCTACAGTGCTAGAGTGCTGACCCTCAATTCCTAAGCCTTTCAAACACATCTTTGTGGTTATCCAGGGGCTTATAACAGGAAGGTTTTAACTACTTATGTGAATTTCTGATATCCCTACTGAGTGCTTTATGTTCCCTTATGTCCTCAAGGAGCAGTTGCTAAAATGTATTTTATGATACTAATTTTTAATTCCTAACCAAAATTTACTTAACTTGCTTGACCAACCAAGGCAATCCATTCCTTCTGTGAGACTGTTAAAATTTGTATCTAGTTGTCCTCATAAAGGCTCATGCAATCATGGGGCAGTTTGCACAGTTTGTGATTAATTCATGATCCAATGCTAGGATTATGGGTGTGAGTGCTACATGTGCCCTGGGCAGATAATCTGCATTCAAATGTGAGGAGGGTAGAGATGCTTGCAATTTGCAGGAGCTGCTGCCCCTCCCTTTGCTCTCTGCTGTTTGCCACTGCCATGAACTGCTGCTCTCTGACATATGCCATTCTGCCTTGGATACAGCAGAGCATGGGGACTGAAACCTCCACTAACTGTGAGCTAAATAAATCTTTCCTTCCTTGATTTTGCGTTTCACATATTTTGTCCCAGCAAGAAGCGAAGAGTAACTAAGACAGAATTTGGTACCAGAGAAGTGGGATTGTTGCTGTGGCTAAATCTGACCATGTGGATTACAAAGTTTTGGAGATGTTGCCTATAAGAGAAGTGCTGGAATGCTTTCAGCTGTTTTGCATGGAAGATTCTGGTCACAGCTCAGAAGACCAGAATGCTGATAGAAATCCTGCTGGCAAAGTCCAGCCTGGGGAGGTTTCTTGTGGGAAGAAGGACTGCATCAGTTGTTGGACTCCAGATGATTTGTGTTATGGCTTCTCAGAAAGTTTGTCTCCACTTTGGACACATCCAGAGACTTTGCCTGAGACTGAGATTAAGCACAGTAGACTGGTTAATCTGGCAGAAGAAATTTCAAGGCAGTTGAATGTTGAGGCAGTGGTATGGCTATTGTTGGGGGCTTTTAGTCAGATTTATGTTGAGAATCAAGAGCAAGGAACCCAGTAGGATGATTTAAAATGATGTGAGTCTGGCCAGACAGGAAGCTCCAATAAAGCTGTGGAATGCAAAACAGAGCTGTGAGGAACTTCATTACTGAAAAGGAACAGGAGACTAGAAAAGATGATGCCCAAGGATATCAGAGGAGGTGGCAGGTCCACACTCTTTGCAGCCTCCAAACTGTGAAAGTGAAAGACCTCTTTGAGGAGAAAGCTGAACAGCACCACGTTTCAGAATGGTGGCATTACAGGGAATTTGTTCCTCAGAATCAGGGTCACAACAATAAGAAATCCAGGCACTCAACTCCTACAACCAAGAGAGAAGAAAACTTGGCTACTGCTTTAGCTGGCACCAGACCTTGGCACCATCCACATGGTGGTGTTTTTAGGTACATGCAGAATGCAAGAGTTCTGAGGTTAAGAAGGCTTCCACCTATATTTCAGCAGGCCTGGGAGGCCACGCAGTGTGCCCCTGGGAGGGCAGTGTGTGAAGCAGACAGTAGGAAGCTGAATGTGCAGTGGAAACCCCAGAAGGATAGAAAAGCCAGGAACGTGGATTATCTGAGGAAACCTATTAGAAGGGAGCAAAGCCAGCATAAGAGAGAACCTGTGGGAACTAAAACCAGCAGAAGTGCCATACACGTGGAGTCACAGAGTCACATGGAGCTCACGATTTGCCACAGATTGCTTCGGATGTTCCACATAGAACTATGGGACTTAATGTTGGCCCTTCTGGATTTTGGACTTGCTTTGATCTCAATGCTTTGTATCCTGTGTTTTGTACCTTTTGAAATGGTAATGTTTTTCTTGTGCCATTGAATGTTGGAAGTGTTTAACTTTTCATTTATACAGGGGCTCACAGCTAACAGTTTGCCTTAGATCTTGGAGGAGACTTGGGACTCGAACTTTTCAGCAATACTGAAACTGTAGGGACTTTGGTAAATCTTAAGAGATAGACTAAAATGCCTTTTGCAGAAAGGGATGTGTATGAGTCTTTGGGGGGCCAGGGGTGGAATGTTATAGTTTGCATCTTGTTGTCCCCCCAAAGCCTTAATGCAGTCATGCGCAGCTTCTAGAGTTTGTGATTAATTCATGACCCAATGCTGGGATTATGGGTATCAGTGACACATTTGCCCTAGGGCAGATAATCTGCATACAAATGTGAGGAGGGGAGAGAAGCTAGCTAGCTGTAGGAGCTTCTGTCCCTCCCTTTTGCTCTTTTCTGTTTTCCACCATGAAAGGCTGCCCTCTTCAATGTGCCACTTTGCCTTGGAGCCAGCCAAGTACGGACTAAAACATCCACTAACTGTGAGCTACATAAACCTTTCCTTTCTTAATGTTTTGTGTCAAGTATTTTGTCCCAGCAACAAAAGAAGAGTAACTGAGACAGAGATCTATTAATGATGTATTTAGTTGGCTGGACTCATTGAGATCTACACACTGTGGTTGCCATAGCTGAGCTGGTACTTACTAAGAGGCATTAGAGCTTATTATGAAGCTATTTTATGCCCATACTTGTTATGAGAATCACATTATGTAGTTAAATATTATGTAAACTGACTCAATATGAGTGCAGAGAGCAGTTCCCATGTACACTCATATGCTAAGTGGGAAGCACTCATGAGTCTCCTAACTGCAAAGTAGGAATAAGAATTAAATTTTTAAAAAGGAGGAAAAACATCTTAAAAACAGAAAAAATTTATACTTGGACTACATCAAGGTTTAGTGCTTTTTCTACATTAAAGCAACTGAAATTGGGAATGCTAAACAATGAATTAAAGATATTGTGTATCGGGGGGATGCTCCTTAATAATGCAAATGAACAGGTCTATAATCAAAAGAAAGCCAAGAAAATATATAAACTAAATAAATTCAAGAATATATGTGTGTGTATATTCTATCACAGAGCTATATCTCATGGCTCCACTTTTATATATTTTGAGTCAAAATAAAGTGCATATGTAGTTTTACTAATTCCCCTCATTGACTCTTATTTCTTTTTTTTTTTTTTTTCCAGAAGGGGATTGAACTCAGGCCCTTGCGCTTGCCAGGGAAGCACTTATTCCACTGAGCCATCTCCCCGGCCCTGACTCTTATTTCTTTGGATGGGAAGTTACCATTTTTGATCACAACTGTGTTGCTAAGAATGCCATATTCACCTCTGGCTCAAAAGTAAGCCAAAGACATTCATCTCAGACAGGGCCAATGAAAAACACCAAAATGAGGCCACAGCCTCATCACCAAGTCACTACACAGTGACATAAGTCGAGCCTTCGTGCCAATCTCACCACCCCCCTGCAGCTTTCCCATCCCCCACACTGAGAAAGGGGTACTAGTTCATACCCATCCTTCTTGTAAAACTCCAGCATCATATTATCCGTGGCGACGCTGAGAGGCCGGCGGACCTGCTCGGGCTGGCGCCGGTCAGCAGGGTCCATGTCTGGGGAGGGCATCGAGCTGTAGTTGGCATTATGGTTCACGTGTACTGGACTCCCATAATTGCCTGTGATGTTGAACTCTATTTCTGTAGGGAAGAAGGAATCAACACACATGATCTCTTGGTGCATCACACTTTCCTGGTTGGAGAGACACTTCACCTCTGGAAAAATCCACCCTTCAGTTCTATACTAGGTGATCTGTTGTTATTAATTCATCCCGCTAGTATAATTTATCTCACTAACAGGCCAAAGAAGGAAAGACATGTAATGATCTAGATTGGCAGCGAACATGTTCATGACTGGGTAGTAACTCTTATGTCTCACTCCTGGGCAGCTTGTACCTCCAGTCGTATGTGTATGACTGTCACATCAGGCGGCATGTACCACCCAAAAGGACCACGCTGTGCTGCCCAGTAGGATGGTCATACAAGCACCACTGGTGGTTCAAGCTAGTGGGAACATGCTAATAATATCCTTTTATGATTTAAAAAACATTAAACTTAATAAAGTAAGAACAGATGAATACTTCCCGAAAAAGATAAAAGTGTCAATATCATATTTCTTGCTTTGGAGTAAAACTCCTGAATATTTCTAATTCAGGAAAATGGCAAAACTATTGAAAAAAACCACTATGGTCATTGTTAGTTAACATTGTCTGAACAAGTCTAGGCAATGGAATTAGTCATGAAAATGTAAGAAAAGTCAAATATTAATAGTTGTGAATGATAATATTATGTTATCATAAAACCAAAGAAAATGAATTGAAAAGATTAGAAACATTAGGAGAGTCCGCTAAGGTGTGTGTTGTTCCTTTAATACATACATCCTTTCCTAGAGAAGGCAGTGGGTAAGCTCTGCACACTCTGCCTGTCCAGCCAGAGTGAAAGAAACACAAACTTCTTTGATGTCAGGTCAGCGCTGATTGGTCACGGAATGATTATCATTTTGTTCTCCTGTAAGTCTGTGGTTGTTGCATGGCTAGAAGCTGACCCTTGAGACAGTATCGATTTTAGATTTTCAGAGAGATGGCGAACACCACATTTGGCATAACAACAGCTATCTCTACATAAAGCTGCCACTACTAAGAGACATACTTCAGTAATGCGGTATGCATGGCTCAGTACCACTCTGAAACGCCCTCCAAGGATGCTGGCTTGAGAGCTTAATTTTAAACCAGGATGAGAAAAGCATCTCACTGCCTTTGAGCCTCACCTGTACACACTAAAAGGCAATGCAAAGGGCAGAGCTTAGGGTGCCAAAACACCACCAGTCAAGGCAATCCATGAGCACTGAATCAAAGCCTCACACACCTCAGGTTCAGGATCCCTCTGTATCTATAAATCAAAGTTTGAAGCAGAACTTTCTCTCTTTTCTGTAGGAGCTTTCCATGATTCATGGACTTGGAGAAACCATGATATAGACACCAGATCAGCACAATCCACTGACCCAGGGTCCCTCCGTGACAGAATTTCCCTCAGGCAGAGATAAGGAAGAAGAAAGCTGCCAGAACCCTAATACCTGGGTGCATTTGTGGGTCTGTCTAATTGCGTGCACAAAGATTGAAAACAAACCCAATGGAAGCCTGGGGCAGTGGTACTAGGCTTCCAAAGCTTGGGACTCACAGTTGTCTTCCTGCTCCTGCTTCTGCCCCCTCCTCACCCCCAGCACGATGCTGTCACATACCCCCAGGGAAGAACCAGTCCGCATGCTGGATGATGGGCTCGATGATCCCGACAATCTGCAGTGAAACTGTGGTCATCATCTCGGTGATGTTCCTGCAAGCATGGAGCGGGAAGGTGGGGTGTGGGGTTCACTAGCCACGGAAGGGTAGGTAGGGAATCCCTGGTCCTCTGGCCACCCAGGCTGTCAGTGGGCCATGGACTGGAACTCCACAGGCCTAGACTTGTGAGCTGGCTTTCTCTGGGATGGATGCCCTACCTTCCTCAATGAGTACAACACCAACGGCAATGAGCAGCACCCATAAAGGTACTTCCAACACGGGTGTGGCTCTCATCACTGCCAGGCCCATCCTCTCTCCAGCTCTCCTGTCTCTTTAGAAAGAACCCTCTGTCCTTCCCAATCCTGATGCTGGAAAGGATCCTCTTATGACAAGAGTCGAGGGACCTAAAAGAGCTTGCCCTGTCCAGTACCATCACGTCCTACCCTCCGTCTTCCCATCCTGCTGTGATCAGCTCAGGGAAGGTTCTTCCTCTACACTTGCAGCTCTATATAATTCTGTGCCTCTTCCTGAGCTATGATTTGAACAATAACTAGGACTTGGAAAATACCCAAGACCGAAAATGACCTGCAGCCTGGTCATCCTATCCCTCCTGTGCACCCTAGCCTCTCCTCTTAGTACTCACCCTTCTGCTTGTGGCCACAGGAGGTTGGGTCCTAAGACAATGGCCATATTACTGGGAGTCATCTTGTTGACATCTTGATATTCTGATAACTTGGATAAAAACTTGATCAAGTACCTGGAAGATAAATGGAAGAATGGCAGGTTTAACCAGGGCTCCACAGAGGCGGTGCTTCCCAGGACTGCACAGAAGCATCTCTAGTACAGTGTACCTTACGGATATTAGAACTCACACACCCCATGATATACGAAGGTGGATCATGTGCCCGAAAATGGGAATTCTGCATCCTCTTTCCAATAATAGACTCAGATGTCCCTGAGGCAGAGGCCAACACGTGTTTTGACAAACACTGGCCAGGAAAGGTCTCCATCTTTCCTTTTGGTTTAGTACAGGATGGCTGAGCCTCTTCCCTCCAGTCAAAAAGGATAAAGTATGTGGGCAATGTCAGCAGTGGCACCTATACTTGAGGACTAATGCCCTCTTAAGAGTTACCCTTGGGTTTTCTGGAAAGACCCAATGAAGCAAATGTTAAACATGGGCTTAGTGCATGACCTAGTAATTGTACTATACCTGGGAGAAGTCAGTCCACACATAAGCTGATATACATATGTTCAGAGCAGCATTATTCCTAGTAGTCAACAAGTGGAAACCATCGAAATGTCATCAAAGGAAAAATGGATAAATATGAAACACTATACAGCTAGGTCCCAGGGGCTGGGCGAGGGCATGAGGAGTGCCTGCTAATGGGAATGAAGTTTCTTTCAGTAGTGATGAAAATGGATAGTATGAACAGGTACATAACTCCATGAATGTACTCAAGCCACTAACCAGCACACTTTGAAAAAGCACAATGTTATATGTATGACCACAATAAATTTATTATTGAAAAGACTCAGTGAAGAAGCTGTATGTGAATTAGGTATAGCAGCCAGCCCTGGCATACCACATTAGAACCCAATAAGCCATTAGGCCCTAGCAAGAAGTTTTAGACACAAGCTTTCTCCAGGATTCTCAGTTACAAAAAGCTGTGGTCCTAGCCCCATTTTGTTTGGATCATGACAAAGTAACTTCCTTGTGGGTTTTTTATTTTTTCCCAGCCTCTGTCAGATCAGCAGAAAGAAGACCACCCTTCTCATCCTACCAAGCAGTCACCAAGCTGTCACTGTCAACTTCACACAACTTCTCCTAACCATGTTTTAGCCTTGAAGAGGCCACATAGGACTCTACAGGATGTGGGGCAGTGGAGAGCAGTCAATCACAGGTTGGCCAACGACCAAAGGCCCTGGTTATCACCATGTAGTGTACTGACTGGATTTTGCTCTTGGGATTTTTTTTTTTTTTTCATTGTAGAAAAATATACGTTTTACCATTTTAACCCATTTTGGAGGTGTGCATTCCAGTGGCATTAAGAACATTCACAGTGCTGGACAACCATCAATACCATCCATCTCCACAACCTTTCCTCTTCCGGATTATACCCACTTTCTCCTCTGAGTGTCCTCCACTCCGACCCACCCTGGCAGCCACCACACTACTTGTAGTCTCCATGAACCTGGATGCTCTAGGTAATTCTTATGAGTAGAATGGTAAGTATTTGCATTTTGTTTGTGTCACTTAGTATCATTTCCTCAAGATCCATCCACACTGTAGCAAGAATCAGAATTTCATGCTCCACTGTAAACACACTAGATTTTTAATCTATTTCTTGCCTAAAGTAACTTGTGTTGCTTCTACTTTTTACTAGTAATGCTGCTTTGAACACAGTTTTACAAAACAAAAGTGTTAGAAAGCAGGATGTAAAGGAACAGAAGCCAGGAACAAGATCTCCAGAGCAGGGGGAAGTAGCAAAAAAAAAAAA